CACAGACTGAACCTAAATCTGTTGGTGCTTTGCTCTTGAACTTCCCTCTCTTCAGAACTGTGGGAAACACATATACATTGCTTATAATGCAGTTTATGGCATTTGGTTGCTATAACGCAACCCTAAAGGCCACCACATTCTCTTAAATTCTGTCTTACACAAATCTATTGATTCTGGTGTGTAAACATACGTGGAGGTGAGTGTACTCGTTTACTACTCTCATCTACATTAGGACTATTTCCTAGTCTTGTCAGACTCTCTGTAGGATTCCCATTCTCCTCTCTCATTTTAATGTAACAGTACATTTGAAGGCTTTCTACTGTAGTAAGAAGTACACCCCAAAGGCCTTACTGTGTTAGATCCCAAATCCTGTCCTCCTGTTTACCTTCTAGGTATAAACTCCTTCCATCTCTGCTTTCCTCTTTCACTCTCACTTAAGCCATAGTGGATATTTGTAATTTCCTCAAATGTGACACACCTTTTTTCTTCCAGCTTGGAGATTTTATACATGCTGTTTCCTCTGCTTACATAAGTGTGCATCACAGCTTTCTATCTGGTGACTTCAATTCAATCCTCTGGTCTTTGTTAAAATATTACTTCCTTGAAAAGGAAATCATTACACACTCCTCCTAATTTTAAATTTCCTATAACTTTTGGCTCATTCTTTTCCTAGTTAGCAACCTATTGCTCTCAGTATCTCTCAGCTCCTAAGCAAATACTTTGTAGAAACAAACTGCATTCCTGTATGTCCTCCTATACAGTAAGCATGGTGCTGAGATTTCTCAGTAGAGGGCGCTAAAGGAACACTACAGTGAACAAAAATGTGTTTCCCAAGTGCTACAGGGAGGGCTAGTGGAGGTGGGGGTCTGTGAACATCAGGGGGTGATTTGACCTAGACATGTACCCAGAACACGTTATTCCCTTGAGCCTTTGCAACCTTACAATGGCCTTGCAAGCATCTTACTGCAACTCTTTCCATATAAGCATTGTAAGTATCAGGTCCTCCTGCCCATCCTGAGACCTTGACTCTCTATTCTCTCCCTTCCTCTCTGACAGTGCTTTCTACTTCACTTTTGCCAGGCCCTTTGAGAGAGGAATGTCTCCTAATCAAGGCCTCCTTCCACCTTTTCATTCTCATAACATAACTATGTTTCAGCAAACAGCTGATGTACCCCAAAGTGTTGCTTCCTGCTTGTCCTGTGACCATGGATTAACTCTAACTTGGCAAAGCAGTGAGTTGTTATTCTATCCACCAGATTAATCTCTTCCATGAGAACTGAATTCCTGGCCTTTGGCAGGGGTATGCTTTCTCAGTTTCTCCTTCCTTGAATAGGCTTTCCTGATGCCATAGCCATAGTCACTTTTTTTAAAAATGATGTTAGGTGAAATGAACCCCAAGATAAACATTCAAATGTTTTTTCTTGATTGCTATTGTTTCTAACATATTTATAAGATGATTTCTTTGTTGCTTTGTATGTCCCTCCCCCGTGGTATAACCCCTGCTTTCACTGTATTTCATGTCGGTATAATTTGTGGAGTGGAAGGGCAAAAACAAACCGTTTAAATAGGGATACAGGTGGACCCATTGCAACAATGAGATGTACAAGTTGTTATGTCGTAAACAAACTTTACAACTTTGGCGGGGGTAGGGGGGGAGGTATGGGAGGGGAGATAGGAAGGGATGGGAAGGGGAAACAAAGGAGGAGGCAACAATGCTTGATAAGAAATGTACTCAATATCTTGCCCATGTAATTGTAACTCCTCTGTATGGTATTTTCACAATAAAAATAATTTAATACGTTTTTTTTTATGAACCTGTTATGTGATTCTACCTCTCAGTCCAACCAGACTGCTATCATGCTCCATCTTTGGAATCACAATTATGTAGATTTGTGTAAATTCATTTACTCATTTCATTCCTCCCTGGGACTGTATGTACAAACAGGGCAGGCATCACGTGTGTTTTGTTGCCATTCCAGTACTTACTGAGTGCCTGGCTTATAAAAATGTATTCAATAAGTATTTATTGCATGAATGGCTACTGTATGTCTGAGTTCATTTTCTGCTAATTTATTCTGTTATGTTCTTCTTGTGCCTCATTAACTCTTCTTTCATTGCTATCTACTCTAAAGATCAGACATAATATATTCTGGAATTTGAAGCACTACACACATCTGATTTTAGCTCTTTGAAAACAAAGCTATGTTTTTTAAAAAATATTTTACCATCTCCATATTAAACAATATATAATAATCCTGGTCACAATTGTAGTTACTTAGAATATTCTTTTCTTAGTTATGGCCAAATCGTAAGATCTGTATTTCTTTTCTTTCTTTCTTTCCTTCCTTCCTTCCTTCCCTCCTTTCTGTCTTTCTTTCTATCTTCTCTCCCTCCCTCCCTCCCTCCTTTCTTTCTTTCTCTCTTTCTCTCTCTCTCTTTCTCTTTCCTTTCTCTCTCTTTCTTTCGCTTTCTTTCTCTCTTTCTTTCTCTCTTTCATTCTCTCTTTCTCTCTCTCTTTCTTTCTTTCTTGTCGGTCGTGGTACCTGAACTCTGAGCTTGGCCGCTGTCTCTCAGTTCTGCAGCTCAAGGCTAGTGCTCTACCACTTGAGCCACAGTGCCACTTCCAGCTTTTTCTGCTTATGTGGTGCTGAGGAATTGAACAAGGCAAAGCACTCTACTACTAAGCCACCTTCCCAGCCTGATCTATATTTCTTTTTTAAAGACAGCTGCAAATATTTAAAAACTAACTAGAATTACTACTATAGTTCTAGTTTTTCACATAAATTTCACTTAACAGGCCTGGTCTGTAATTCCAATGACCAGACTCAGTATTAGGAAATGAGGAGTTGTGGGGATTATGGAAAATTGTGTTGTGCATGCTTTACCTGCATATGTTTAATTAAAAATTATGACAATACCATATGAGCCAAACACAACATCTGCAAGCAGCACCATTCATCTGAATGTCACCTGCCTGGCAAACCCATACCTAAAATATTGGCTCCAAGGATCATTCTAAATTTCAAGGACCAGGAATCTTAAAACAAGAAGTTGCTTGACTAAAAGTGGTTATTTATTTTTACTCAAGGACAATAAAGCTATCATCTACTATTATCAGTGTTTCACAGAGGTAATAACCATTTTCAGTGAAAGGCAGGAAGGACAAAAATCTCAAAATACCAATCTGGAGAAAAATCTAGCTTACCTTAGTTATTATTATTTTTTTTTTTTTTGTCTCTTGACTAGATGGGAATTCATTGGGTTACAAATCAGAATTATCCTGAAAGCTTAAAGAAACCACACACAATTTGCAGGATCACACGGTTGGAGATTCAGGAGGTAAAGCAAAGAAGATGGTTTGCAGGTGTGTTCTAGGAAACTCCTCTGGTGCTTTTGAAATAAATCTAGTTCATAAATTCAGGCCTGCTCCACTTCAATCCCCAGAACGAGAAATCATAGACAAACTATGATTTCTTATTCTGTTTAGAGAGAATCCTATTTTCCTGCACTGGGGGGAGACAAAGTTTTTCCAAGTAGCTCTACAGCTCCATTGCTATAAAAGACAGAGCATTCCATGGTCCGTGTCACAAATAAATGTTCTATAATCTAGGAACAGAAATTCTTCACAATAATTCACTATGCAAAATCATTCCTCTTTTTTTTTTAAAGTGTATTGATTTCTTTATTGACTTGTTCCAGAAAGAGATTAAGGTTTTTATATGCTTGCATACATACATATTTATTAAAGTTAAAATTAAGAAACTAGAGAAATGTAAGATGAAGGCCAGAAAATAAGATTGCATCATGAATGAGGCCAATGACTGAAAGCTGGTGCTTTGAACCTTGATAAGAGGTCACAAATGTGCTCATAGTTAACAGTTAAGCCACTAGGGCAGAAGTCAGTGGGACACAGTGGGTCCTCAGTTAGATGGCAGATGCATATGTTCCTTGGGAGAGGGAGTCTATTGAATGCTTACAAACTGTTGCTACAGATTTTTTTTTTTTTTTTGGTAGGTTGTGGGGCTGGGCATTGTCCCTCAGCTCTTCAAGGCAAGCATTCTACCACTTGAGCCACGGCACCACTTCCGGTTTCCTGGTGGTTTATTGGAGATAAGAGTCTCATGGACTTTCCTGCCTGGGCTGGCTTTGAACCATGATCCTCAGATCTCAGCCTCCTGAGTAGCTAGGATTACAGGCATGAGCCACCAGCTTCTGGCTGCTACCAAATGAACCAGGTCGGAAATTGAGATTTCTGTGTGAAATCTCTGATTCAATTATGTTTGCATCTGATTCACAACATAATACTGGATTGCACATGGCTAAGGAAACATGTGAGTTTGTGAGATATTAACATCACTGGAAGAGATTTCCCCAATTACACAGGCCCAGAGAGACCCATCTGGGGAAAGTACTGACTGCAGATTGTGATGCTATCTCATAAGACTCCTATGAGATTGCAACCTTCACTTACTGTTAGATCACTATTCTTAAAAAAAAAAAAAAAAAATCTGGGAAATGCAATGAACTATTCCAGGCTTCTTTTTTGGTACTGTGCCTAAGAAAACTAGACCTGAATCCTGCCACTCAGGAAATAGTGTATAGTCAGTGAAGCCCTGCTGCCTTAGGCCCACCTTGATTTCTCTCTGGTACCAGGAATTTACTTTGGTTCTTATTTTCTTGGTTTTGATATGAAAGATTTCACAGAGGAATTGAAAATAGAAAGGAGATGGAGATGGAAACTTATACCAGTCTTGATTAATATGGTAGAAGAGAAAATAAAATCCTCTGAGTACAAAAAGTTCCTGAAAAGTTATAGGAGAGAGAGAGAGAGAGAGAGAGAGAGAGAGAGAGAGAGAGAGAGAGAGAGAGAGAGAGAGAGAGAGAGAGAGATTCCAGAATCCTCAACATGGCACCATACTAGACACTCTTTGGGACATGAAGTAATCCGTGGGACTGTTCTTCTCAAGGTTTATTGTGTGTATCCCCTTCCCTCAGTTTACCTTTTTATGTTTGTAGTAGTGGAGGCAACCATCATGTTTCAGCACAAACCACCTCTTCCTCCAACCCTTCAGGAAGCCAGAATGAGTCCTCTTATGCAGGTAGCCACGGCAGGTGGGCCAAGGTGTGTTGGGGCAGCGGCTGATGTCAGATCCCACCACCAGAGTCAGGATGTCTGGACCTAGAGGCATAAGTTTTGGCTAGTTCAGTGATTCAAAGACTCTTAGAATCACAGGCAATGAATGAAGACTGAATGAGTAATTGTTACAGATTTTAGAAATGGGATAAAATAGAATCCTAGTATTGACTAAATCAAATTCCTTACTAATTCAAAACCTTGAGATTATGAAAAAAATAGAAACTGGAGGGATAAAGTTATAAGGAGCTGAACTGGGACCTAGGTTTTCTGATTCGTGGTAGAGAGCTCTTTTACTTACCCAATACTGCCATGTGTTTTCTAGTAATGCACCCTTTAAGTCCATTCATTTTTATTGGGTGTAATAATCAGAAGCTTCACTTTTAAACATACAGTGATTTACTTCCTAAAATGAAGGATGAGTAATGTTTGCCTTTTCTACCTCACTTTAGTTTAAAAGTAATTAGCCTCTTTGGCCAAGGCAGGATCTAAGTCACTGCTCATTTTTTTGTCAGTATTGCCCCTCTCTCCAACTCAATTTCCAGGGTTTAGTTTTTGTTTTTGTTTTATTTGTTGTTGGTCGTGGGGCTTGAACTCTGGGCTCTGTCCCTCAGCTCTTCAGCTCAAGGCTAGCATTCTACTACTTGAGCCACAGAGCCACAGTGCCACTTATGGCTTTTTTCTGCTTATGTGGTGCCGAGGAATTGAACCCAGGGCATTATGCATGCAAGGCAAGCACTCTACCACCGAGTCACCTTCCCAGTTCCCCCAGTTCTTGAAGTTAGAAGGAGACAGAAGTTCCACAAGCGCAGAGATACTTGATTTCTTCTGTCTGTCTGACTTAGGCTGTGAGTTTACCACTGGGCTTCCAGATTCCCCTCCTTTCCATGTGAGAATGCCCTCTTTGTTGCCTGGACCTGAGTGGTCTCCTCTTTCCCTTAAGTCTGGCATGGGGTATATCTTGGAGGAATTTGACCCTGCTCCTGTTAATATGAGGTCACTATTTTCCCACTTGTGTTCTGATGCTGCCAGCATGGACACAGATTTTTTTTTTTTTATCACATACCTACCTTCTGATGGCTTAAAACAAGTGTCTGAATGTCACTCAGATGGACAGCAACCCTGCCATGCTCTGAAGACTGCAAATGGGGTATGACTTCATTTACAATTCCTCTGAGAGGGAGGCCACATCCCTGAAGGGGGACATTTGGCCTGACTTGGCAGCGCCTGACTTCATCATGATGTCTGACATTGAGATTACCGATCTGTTTAGAGCTGTCTATGGAAATGGGGGTCAGGGAGGAGACTCTTCCTCTATAAATGACAAGCACCAGCCCAAGGGATCATTCCTGGCTGAGCCACATGGCCCCGAAAATAAAGATTTGTCCCAGAAAAGGCTGACACAGTCTTAACTTTAGCAGCACGCAAAGCACCTTGGTAATTAAATAACTCTCTGTGTGTCAAGATAATTCTTCATTGCCATGTAAATACATTTTAATTTATTGAACTGCCCTTAAGCTCCTGTCAAAACACATCCCGAAAAATTAGAAGAAATACTCCAGATTGACCAGTAACCCACAAATGTCTTTGTCTTTGCACTTCAGTCCCCAAAGAACTGTACTCCTGGACTAATATACATAGTTGACACATCTGCCAATTTATTTATGTACCGCTGCAGCGGGGGGACGCCTCCGGGGGTCACTTTCCTCTTGCTTACACAGACTGCATGTGGGTTTCTCTGATACTGATCAGGCAAAGCTTGTGTTTCAGCATGGCCATACACATAACTTGGTGCACCAGGAAAAAAAAAAAAAAGCTCTCTAGGACAGAGATACAGATGGCCCTGCTGTAGCCTGCTGGTATCATCTATCTTATTATTAGAGAAGAGTTTTTCACATTCAGGGTGAAGACATGAGCATGTTGCCTTGGGACTTACTGTGTTCTAAATAGCTGTTGGGCAATGGTGGTATTTTATCCTTTACAAAGTCCTACCAGGGTCCAGAGGGTTACTTTACATTCACAGTGGCTCATTTTTTTTAATGTAAGTTTTTCATTGTGAAAATACTGTACAGAGGGGTTGCATTTACATGAGCAAGGTAATGAGTATATTTCTTATCAAGCATTATTTCTTCCTCCTTTGTTTTTCCCTTTCCATCCCTTCCCTCCAACCTCCTCAACTACACTTCTCCGCCCCAGCCTAAATTGTAAAGTTCATTTTTCAACATAGTGTCTTCTACATCTCATTGTTGCAATGGGTCCATCTGTATCCCTACTTAAACAATTTGTTTTTCCCTTCCCCTCCCCAAATTATAACAACATCAAATACAGTGAAAACAGGGGTTATACCGTGGGGGAGGAACATACAAAGCAACAAAAAATCACATGGTACCTTATAAATACGTTAGAAACAATAGCAAGCAAGAAAAAAAATACTTGTGTCCCTATCTTGGGGTTCATTTCACTTAATTTCATCTTATCTGGTTTTATATATATATATATATATATATATATATATATATATAGCTTTAGACATTTTCTGCTTGTCCCAGACATATACAGGTTATTGCAAATAAGGGAAACCATGGGACCTATGTTTCTTTAGGCCTGGCTTACTTCACGTAATAAAATTTTTTCCAGCTCTTTGCATTTCCTAACAAATGGGGCAATGTCATTCTTTCTGATAGAGGCATAGAATTCCATTGTATATATACCACATTTTCTTGATCCATTCATCTACTGAGGGGCATCTGGGTTAGTTCCATATCTGAGCTATGGTAAATAATGCTACAATAAACATAGTTGTGCTGGTAGCTTTAGTATGGCCTTGTTTGTGATCATTCGGGTAAATGCCCAAAAGTGGGATTGCTGGGTTATAGGGGAGCTCTATGTGGAGTCTTTTGAGGGACCTCCATATTGTTTTCCAAAATGGTTGAACAAGTTTACAATTCCGCCAACAATGCAGTAGGGCTCCCTTCTGTCCACATCCCCTCCAGCATCTGTTGTTATTAGAGTTCTTGATTATTATAGCCATTCTAACTGGGGTGAGGTGGAATCTCAATGTTTTGCTCTGCATTTCTTTTATGACTAGAGAGCTTGAGCATTTCTTCATGTGTCTATTGGCCATTCTTATTTCCTCTTCAGAGAAGTTTCTCTTTAAGTCTTTAGTCCGCTTATTTATCAGGCAGTTGCTTCTTTGAGGATTTCTTGTTGGTGGATTTACTTTTTTGAGTTCCAAGTATGTTTTAGATAGACCCTTATCTGTTGTTTGGCTAGTGAAGATCTTCTCCCAATCTGTAGGCTTTCTATTGATCTTTCTAGCTATGTCCTTTGCCATGCAGCAGCTCTGCAGCTTCATGCAATCCCATTTGTCCAACCTTTCTTTGATTTGTTATGTTTCTGAGTCTCTATTAAGAAAACTTTGTCCTGTGCCAAGGAGACCTAGGGTTTCTCCTATTCCATCCTCTTTTCAGGATGTCTGCTTTGACTCCCATGTCTTAGATTCATTTGGAGTTGATTCTGGTGCAGGGTGATATATAAGGATCTAGCTTTAGTTTTCTACAGGTGATTAACCAATTTTGACAGTGCTCATATTTGATATGTACATTTTGGGTGAAATCTTTAAAAAAATATTAGTTGTATAGTCACTATAGTTTTCCTAAGTGTTTGTTGGATAAATTTACTTGACAAATACAAATATTTAGAACTTTATTTTTGTTATGACTTATGAACTTACTAGGATCTAAAATTATAAAGAGTCTTAGTTCAATACTTCTCCATCTAAATAGGAATGCAAATCACCTGGTTTGTTTAACTGTATAGCCTTGTTCAGTGGTTTTGGCATGTGGTCTCAGAGTCTACAGTGGCAAAAAGTGCTCAGGTGATGTTGGATAGAAATTAGAATTCCATGTCCTTAGGCCTCTCTCATTTTTCAATAGTCTGTATTACTTAGTTTACTGTCTTTGCCTTTAACTATGGTATTTCTTCCTTTCTTTGACTATGATTTAGTTTCTCCTGGCTTTAGTTTTTACCTCGACATTTCTTGGCAATAAAATGATTACTTCCCCCTCCCTCATATAACTTATTTTTATCTTCCCACCCTGGAGGAAGGAAATACATAAACACTGCCTTCCTTTGCTGGATGTTGCTTGCTTTTGAGGAAAGGTGAAATGTAGGAAGCTGAAAGATGGACGTCTACTGCCAGAGGTGCATTTCATGAGATGAAGGAGTTCGAAGACCTACATGTTTAACTTAATTCTTTGGTGATAGCATCCTTCAAAACAAAAGCAAGCCAGTAAACACTTCTTCCCAAATACTTTGGCCTGGAGGTTTGGAAGTAAGGAGTTGTGGTGAGGCTATTTACAGCTTCAAGAAAGAGAAAAATAATTTCTTTTTCTAATTCACACTCTTTCCTTGGCTCACTGCTTTCTTCCTATGTCACCAATCTTAAACTGTCTCAGAGTCACACCTCTGCTGTCAGACAAACTCTGCCACCCTCACAAATGTGACCAAGAAATGTGCAAGACATATTCATCCCAGAGGGCACATGCTGCGTTCAGCAGTGGAGAGCAGGACCCCTGGAGGCTCTGGGGTGTTTGATTTTAGTAAAACTTGCATTTAGTAAGGCAAAGACATCCTAATAGGGCAAAAGACTTCTAAGCTGATTAAACTGTACTATGTCCCTTTACTCTCTTCACTTGGAATTAAATCTTCTCTTTAGGTTTCCAAATATTCAGTCCTATAAACACCAAAACCAGGCTGTGAGGGAACCCTCATTAAAACAAAGATTCAGCTGGTTGTAGTAACATACATCTCCAATCCCAGCACTTAGGAAACTGAGTTGGGAGGATCTTCAGCTCCAGGCCAGCTTGAGCTCTACAATAAGATCCTGTCTCAAGAAATACATACATACACACACACACACACACACACACACACACACACACACACACACACACACACAAACGCACACATACATGCATGCACTCATGTGCACTCTTAAACAACAAAATCATACCACCTCCACCTGTAAAAATGCCATCAGCAAC